CTCTCTCTCTCTCTCTCTCTCTCTCTCTCTCTCTCACACACACACACACACACACACACACACACACAACAATCTAAGAACTTGCATCTGAAACATTTCATTGACATCGCTGTGCTCTCCTCCTCAGGATCTTGTGAAAAGCCATTTAATGTACGCCGTGCGCGAGGAAGTGGAGGTCTTGAAGGAGCAGATCAAGGAGCTCTATGAGAGGAACTCGCTTCTGGAGAGGGAGAACGCAGTATTAAAATCTCTGGCCAACACTGATCAGCTGACCCAGCTCACCTCTCAGCACAACAACCTCGGCAGCACTTCACCCCAACAGACGGCGGTCAACGCCATCCTACAGGAAGGAAGCAAACTTGTGGCCTTGCCCCCGCAACCCAACGTGTCCACAGCGTGAAGACCATAAAAAACATCCAATCTGCAAAGGAGATTTTGGTTTGCCACTTGCGGAGAGCCATGCTTCGTTATACGTGCTGCTTGGCTTTCCCTGTATTAGACAATCATTTTGGGAGAAGCAAATTTGGCTCCACGATGGGTGCGGTAGCTTTCCGTGGGAATGGGCTGCTGGCAGGCGCGGGCGAATGCGAAAGAGTTCAGTAGAAAAGTGGAGATTTAGCAGGAAGCTAAACAGCGATTTAGATCTGGAAACGGAGAGCAACTACCGTGGAAAGCTTGGGAGAGCCTACAGCATCTGTTTAGTTTTACTGTTTGCATATATTTATTAGAGGGCTGCTATTTTCATAATGTAAATGAACGATGTAACAGAGATCTATTATATATATATAAAGAAACGTTCTTTTGGTTTCTGAAATGTAAGTTTAACAAGGCAATAATGTCCCCATGGCACAGTTCCAACACTAAAAGTGATTCAACAGCATTGCTGATACGCAGTCCTGTATAGTTGAGTTGGTTCGGGGTTGAATGTACATGTGTATAAATTGTGAAGTATTAAAGTATAGCCAGGTGTACAGGTGAGCAGCCGTTATCAAGTATTTTTCTTTCGGATTTTATTAAGTGTACTCGCTATACTTCCCCTAAGTACTTAAATTCTGGCTTTTCAATTCGTTTTGTATTTTCAGTTCGGGATGGGGTAAGAAGCTGTGAATTAGTTCGTACAATGTATTTGTAACCAAAGAAGAAATGCGGTGTACATTTGTTTTGTAGCACACATTTTCTTGTTTGTTTGCGCTTTTTTTTTTTTTTTTTCTACTTCGTCACCTTTTGTTTCTGATTAGCATGTGCTGCATGATCTATCAAGACTATTTTCTTACCTCATGTTTTTTATTCGTCATAATTTAAGCAGTCAGTGAACCATATGTGATTATGGACGGTGAAGGGTGATTTTTGGAGGGAAAAAACCCAGTAACATTAACAAAACAAAAACAAAAAAAATGAGTGATCTGTTTTCATTTGCATGGTGTTGTAAGACTTGACATACAAACAAATGTTTATTACTTGGCAGAAAATGTACAAAAATAAATGGCGATTTATATTTCCAGGTGTAGTTTACACTGATAACCTTCAAAGAACGATAAAATAATAATCATAATGAAATCAAAGCCGCAAAAGTGTTCACAGATGTCATTTATGTATAGGGTATGTCCTCTGTTTTTTTATTTCTTTTGTGCCTCTTGTACTATGGATGCAGCAATCTGGTTTATTTTTATTTTTTGCCCAGTTTGAGCCAAACAGAAATATTGTACAGTCACTGTACATCGGTCTGAAATTTTTAGGTTTGCTTGTTTTTCTTTTTCATTGAAGGAAATGTAGTATACAAGCAAAATGTATTGTACTTGATCACTGAGCCTTTGAGAATATCTTAAAAATACCCTTGTAATGTGCTGTTTTGAAAAGTTTAGTTTTCTGTCAGAAATAAATTACTGTTCCATTGAGAACTAAACCATTTTAAATTGCTGTTTTCTTGTGCATAACTCACACAACAAACATTAACTGACATGAATTGTTAACTTGTTAAAGATGAGTTTCACACACACTTAGGTAATTAAATATGGACATGCCATAGACTTAAAGGTTAATTAAAATGTATACAGACGAACGATGATCACTATAACGACAAACATATAGTATTAAAATCATTCTAAATTTAACAATCCACACCACAACCGTAAGGATAATGACAGAATGATATAACTGGAATCACACGTTGTAGCTGTTTAACAATAAAACCATTGACGGCCAATCAGAATCCACCCGACTTTAAAGAGCGCGAGCATTTAAATGTGGAGTAAGCGATTTCTGAGAAACAAACACGCCCAACCCAAAATTACCACGCCCCTATTTTGATAGCCCCACCCCCACGAACATTCTATGCAACACAAGCACCTCCTCCATCGCGTATGGACACGCCTCCTTATTGGCGATTGGCTACAAGTGTGTTTTGGAGCTCGGTCCGATCCACTTTCAAAAATGCCTACTGCAGCTTTAAAATGGCAGACGACAAAACTGTAGTGCCTGCTTATAATAAACAACATTATTATGTTTTGCTGTGAACGCTAGTATAGTTATGATTCTTGGTGTGAACTGGCCTTAATTTCCATTTTTCCATTCCACTGCGCTATGTTTATTTTCTATGGAAATGTGCTAGATGAACGTTGAGCCTTTGCTGCATCTCGCGCACGACGCAGCGTTAAAATAAGTTCAACTTTAAAAGAACGCATCTCGAGGCGTTGCGTTTTCCCTCCACTCCACTGCCTCCATCTTACGTTTTTTTTCAAAGTAAAACCACAGAGCGCGTTTGACGTCATTTACAGACACAGCGTTCTAAAAATCCTAAAAACATTGCACTCAAGTTAAAAGAAGTTTAAAGAAGCACGTCTAGGCCTTGCGTTTTTTTTGTATTCCACTGCCCTACCACTGCAACTCCAGTTTGTAAACGCAAACAAAATAATGTTTGCATTGTACCGCTCCATTATTTTCAACGTAAACACGCGGTAGATGGACATATGGAAGCTTGTCAGTAAGTTGGAGAATGAGGTCTGTGCAGAGCAAAAGTGGGCGTTTCTGAATTTGTGGGTGTTTTCAAACTGCTGGGTGTTTCTAAATCATGCAATGAAAATGATCCCCCTTACCTGACCACACCCCTAAACCTAAACGTCACTATGACGTCAGCCAATCAGGTAACATGGTCGAAAACGCCCCTCTGGTTTGGCCACGCCCACCGATCTGGTAACTCCCAGTACTTTCCTGCAGAGATCTAAACTTGAAAGCACGAGGACCCTGCCGATCACGGCACCCAATCAGAAAGTAGCAGCAGTGGCCGCAACCAATCAGGGGCCCGTTCTTCGTACGTCGCTAACTCAGTTAGCTGGATTTGATTGTTGATGATTTGGCTTGATCTTGGATAGTTTGGTTCTTCGAAGCTCATCCTGGACTTGCTGTCATGGCAACAGCTCCATAAATTTAAACCTGCTCGGGAGCAGTTTATTTCATGTAAACAGGATTAGATTGCATCTTTTTAAGCAGAACTGATACTTCAAATCTGTCCGCTACCACCGCTACTTTATTACAAGAGTACCCTACTGATCCAGGGACAATAATTTAAAATAATAATCATTTAAATTATTTTAAGATAATATAACAATGTTGTGTAGTCTTTAATACTACAGACACAGCCAGTTTTACTCACTGAGAGATTTATTCGTGATAAAATAACTATAATTGTATTCGAGTCTTACACACATGCTGTACAGTTAATATAGAGTCGTGCATTAATTTGAGTGCTGACAGATATTGTGGGAGTGGCTTGAAGGAGCGCAGACGCAGATAACATGATCTTGACCCTTAAGAAACTTTACTTAATGCTGTCACATAACAAATCTGCTTCGCAGATAATTACATGAATCGCTAATTACTACATTGAAATAAAAATGTAAAGCCTGTACAAATATTAGAAATCGTGAATATAAATAAAATAAAATATATAAAATATAAAATTAAACAAAAACAGTGCACATTTCATTTATCTATTATAACATTTATGTAGTTTTGTTCGCTTGGCTGTTTCCTTATAAAAGTTTTTCCGTCAGGTGTCTTTATTTATTATATGACGTCGTTACGTTGCTGTATTGATGCGAATAGTAAGCAATAAATTACTAATACGAGCTTTGTTTTACCCAAATATGACAGTCATACTGGACAGAATGGTCAGTTTACGTGTAGCCTATTAGCAAAGTTGGCACTTTCTTCACCATGTAAATTCATATTTATGCTGTTGTAGCCTATATAGGCCTACAGCAGGCTACCTAATCTAAATGTATATTATTATTATTATTATTATTATTATTTTTAATTTCCATATACACGCACAACAGCATGCTCTAATTAATTATTGAAGCGAACTCAACTCAACTGTAAAGCAGCTCTACACAACATACTAGAGCCATTATTCAGCTCAAATCAGTTCAGTTCATCACTGAGTTACATAAAAGTACACTTTTAAAGGTTAGGAGTCATTTAAACAGATGATTGTAATTTTCAGTAAAAAAAAAAAAAATATATATATATATTTTACTGTCATATAGGCTAAGCATTGTTGTTGAGGACAGCTTATGTCTTATTAGATTAGAAGTTTTCACACTGATATGGCAAAAGAACTGAGTGGAAAACAAAAATACTTTACAACATAGGCTGATGTCAAGGTTAACGTGTTCAATAGAGTTATTATTTAAATATCTAATTAAATACTCTTGATCTTTTGTTTTTTTGTTAGCATTAGCAGGGCGTGTGGATCACTTCTGCCATCTGCTGGTCATTTCCGTCAATTAGCTCTAAATGCCATCATATTACAAAAGAAATATATACATTTTAATTACTTTAATTTAATTTGAATTTAATTGCTTTAATTTAGTTTTAACTTTAATTACTTACATTTCTTATTCTTTCTAAAAATGTATTTGTACAACAAAAAGTATCTATGCTATTCTATTCTATTCTATTCTATTCTATTCTATTCTATTCTATTCTATTGTGGTGTTGTGGCTGGTTGCCATAGCAGAATGCAGGCTACCATAAATACCTTCAGAAGCGAAATGGAAGGATGCTGCCCTTGGCTCTAACTGTCAACGCAAAAAGCCTTACAATGTCTTAATTGTCATGTGGCTGTAATAACCTGCCACGCCACGCCACGCCACGGCACGCCTCGCCTCGCCACGCCACG